TTAGGCACTATGCTACCAGAGCTCAAATCCTCTGGGTCCCATTAAAATGTAGATTTTGATTCATTAGATCTTGGGGAGGGACTTGAGCGTCTGCATTCCCAGGTGATGCTGATGGCCGCAGCTGCTGCTGGTCCTAGGCTGTGCTTTACATAGAGAGCAAGGTTTCAGTAACAATCCTCACTCACTGAAAATTTAGATTTCAGCTCAAGCTGAAGGAAATTAATTTGGTTGCAGTCTAATTGTAATGGATTGCTTCCATCCAAACTCTCTAAAGTCTGATCTCCTCAAATTGCCCTGAGTCATTTAGTTGCGTTTTATTGACTCCCAAGAATAGTCAAAAGGTAAGTCAGTCAGTCAGTAAATTAATGAGCTGTATCTGTTGAATACTCATCCAGTTTTACTACATATTGGTTCAAATTATCAGTTCCATTTTTTGTTTTCAGAAAATGACCATTCAGCCATAGATTTTAAACTTATTCATAAAACAGGACAGGAAAACAAGAGAATCATTTCCAATTTTCCAACTGTCCCTAGAGAATTTGTTAATTTTGTTAGAACATACTCTAAACAATACTAATCTAGGATGGTAATTTTTTTTTCCATTCTTATCTATAATAACCTAATTTCCATAACAAAATAGCATATTATATGCAATTTTCCATAGTATTTCAATGCTATTACTTTCTCTTATGTACTGGAGAAAAGGGAATAATGTAGAGAATATTCATAGTAACAAACTTACTTTCCTTTACGTATATTGTTTTAAGAGTTTCCTAAATGCTAATACGTGGCACTCAAATTAGTGCCACTGCCTCAGTTAGTTGAAGACCAATCTGACCTGTTATTAGATTGGCTAGAGGGAAGGAAGACACAAGGATTGGGTATTCCAGATCCCACTTGGCCCACAAAGATGGAGTGTTCTTGTTATTGGAAATAGAGCCTAGAAGAAATACGGTTTCAAAGCAAGCCTGTGTTTTGCAGGTTTGAGGATGCATGGTTGATTGGGAAATGTTTTTTCAATAAAAATTTGATTTCATGGTGCTCTGAACACCTCTTTAAACACATCAAAGATGTAAAGAAAAAGGAGGGCATTTTCTCTATATTCAGGATATTATTGTGAAAATGTATAAATCTTTAGCAACTATGAGTCATGGAAACAAATGAAAATTAGATGGAAAATTTAGGGGTGGAGTCAGAAGAAGAGATTGTCTAAAAATTCAAGGTACTTTCGTCCTTGTAAAATTTAGCCAGTGGTAATCTAAGAGTTTGCCCTGAGTTAAGTGCTATTGGATAGTAAATATCCCATTAAATGCTATCAGTGATTCCCTGAGGCTGGACAAGGATATGATGAAATCATTGCACAAACTCCTGTTGATCCCAGATGGGATGAACTCCCAAATCTTTGTATACAACAGGTGTGAGGAATGGATTTATTGAGGCCCACACAGTTTGTCTGCTTACACTATGAGGCCCCTGTTTTCTGAAAATATTTCCAGTCTTGATCTGCAAGTATACCATCCTTTTACCTATCTGGAAATGAGTTTCATAGAAATCACTCATTCTGGTTAGACAACAAAGGACAGGGCATTGTTCAAGAAGACAGGGATTCCGTCTCTATTTCATGAGCAGTAACAGAACTCTGGTGGTATGAGATATAAAGCAGTGCTGTTTAATGTGTGCGTGGGTGGGGTAGGGTGGTGATAAATTCTGGGAAGGGTCCATATGTGAGGTGTGGTTTTCTCAGGACAGGTGAAAGAGCTCAGCCAGAGAAGCATGACTACACAGATATGTAGGACAATGGGAGACCCCGATGAGGTTTGACGTGATGGAGGGATTTCAAGGAAATAATTGTCCACTTTATAATTCCCTCAAGGCTAGGTTTAGGCCCCAACATTCCTTTGGAAAATATATTCATGATTATCATATTTTTTTCTTTAACATTTTCGTCTTTGTCTTCCAAAAGTGAGTAACTTTACCTTTAAGAAGCTTACCTGATTATAGTGCATCATGTTCTGAATGGGACTTTCCCAGTCAAAAGCTTGGAATTTCCCAGATTTACCAGCCTAAGGTAAAGAAGGGGGGGGAGAAACAAAAAGCCTATTAACCTATTAGCAAATTCATGGCAACAGAAAAAAGCAAAACTCTTCTCGCTATGTGAAAAATAAAATCCAAGCACTTCCAAGTAGGTACAGCTGTAATTTAAACAATTAGAAAACATTTTTATTTTAAAAATAGATTATTATTCATGAGAAGCAAGGGATTTATGCAACTGTAACATGCAGCTGTGCTTGAAATATTTTTTCCTGTACAAAACCCATTCATTTCTTTGTTACCCAAAGCATCTGTTTTCGTAAAGTTTTACTTCACATGGATTGATTGTTATTCTCAGCTGATATTCACATGCCAGAAAAATTCCCTCCAGAAGCATTTGAAAGAATTTGCTTTAGGTAAGATCCTAGAGTTCAGGGCCTTAAAAAAAAAATGTTGTAACAAACATGTAAACTGATACCTGGGTCCAGTGGAATACATTTTGAACAGAAGTTCCTGCTGGATTGTGTGATAGATACACATCCAAGCGACTCTAGGAGACAAATAAACACGCACTTCAATACACATACTCAGCTTCTCCAGAGAAAATACTGAAATTGTCAAGGATTTCATTTTACTTGGATCCACAATCCAAGACCATGGAAGCAGCAGTCAAGGCATGAAGCAATGTATTGCATTGAGCAAATCTTCTTGCCAAAGACCTCCTTTAAATGTTGCTTTGAGGACTAAAGTGCACCTGACTCAAGTCATAATATTTCCAATTGTCTCATGTTTACATAAAAGCCAGACAATGAATAAGAAAGATGAAAGAGGAATTGAATTGATGCATTTGATTTATGGCATTGTCGAAGAATATTGAATATCCCAGTAGTCTCTGATTTGCTCTGGGGATCTCTTTGCATGACTCGTGTTAAGTCTGTACTGACATAAGTGGAATGCTATATATATTTTTTTGTTTTAGTTTTCTTTATTATTGCCATTTATTATTAATCTTTGTAAATCATGACATTGAACATCTGAGAATGAAAACATCAGCAAAGTATGTGCTATACCACTATAAGTAGTACACATTACTAACGATTGTTGTTGTTGTTATGTGCCGTCGAGTCAGCCCTGACTCATAGCGACCCCTCCTTGGGTTTCCGAGGCAGTATCACTACGGAAGTAGGATTGCCCAAC